CGGGTCCGCCTCTTGATCGACGAGCGTCGACTGTGTTGTGCTTCTCGATACTGCCAAAACAATTTCTCATACTCGACGAAAATTAGAGATAAGCGATCTCGGCAAACCTCGGACGCAGCTAAATTTCTCGCAAAATAAGCATGTTTTTCAGGTTGGGCTTCAGTAAGCGTCCTTGTCCTTGGTATGCGACTGAGGGTTCGCGAAGTAAGGCCTTGTAAGGCACGTTCAGCCGGCGTATTGGCGGAAGTTTCGAAGATCCTCCCTATCGCCCTTCTTATTAAGTAGGATTATTTAAGAGCTTCTCTACCGGTTGGGCATCCTTTCTTTTTTAACGTAAGATGTTAGGTGCGCCACAAGTATCTCGCGCAGCGATGTCTTCCAGTTTGTAAGAAGTCGGCCAAAACGAGGTCCGGTCTCGCAGAAGTGACTACTACCCTGGTCTGGACTGCAGCGCGTAATTTAGCAGATAGAATCCGTGATTGTATTTTTCTAACAGAGGAGGCTAATGTACAATCTTCTCGTAATCGGTCCCATCTTTTCGAGAAGATGTACGGATGCAGTCTCAGTTTAGTAACGTTGTCAGATACGGTATAGAAAAGGTCTTTGCGGCACCTTCAGCCTCTCCTAGTTGGTAATGGTTACCAGTCGCTCAAGATGTGAGTAGGATTCAGCCTCAGTGTTCCCCTTCTCTCAAGCAGATCCTTGGTGGCTTTCGATATTGTTTCAAGTTCTTTGTTTGTTTGAGACTTCCCTAGCTCTTCTCTTCTGAGGAGCAAGTTGTAGTCCTTCGTTGAGTTTTTCTCGACGAACCAGTCACAAGTGATCAGAAGCTTCCCCAGCTTGACGCTGTCATATACGACTTCTCCTGCCTCCAACATAGTGACAGGTATTCTTTTCCATCGCATCGCTGAATCACAATTCCTATGAAGAAAAGGTGATCCAAACCACATCTGAAAGTACCATTGAGACATGTAGTAAGCACCGCCTTCGGTTGATGAGAAAGTCGTCGATCTCCGCATGAGTCGTACCATTGGGCGACTCCCATGTCATGTTTTTTTTT